TTGGTGAAAGTTGCTGAACTATAATGAAAATAATCCCATGCGCTTCGAGTATGGGTTTATAGAGAAAGCAAGACAATTTACCTTTAAGCACTGCCTAATTAGTTAGATCTACCCACAATATTTGTGAGCGGTGGCGGTGGTTGCGTAATAGGGAATCCATTTTTGAGATGGCCCGTTCTGAGTTTTTCGTTCTTGTGTATTAGGGATAGATCAGTGCAGGAGTACTAGGCATTGAGATGGGTTATTTTTCGGCACAGATCATTGTTCTACTAATAAAATGGCATTTTGTTTCACAAAGTGGTCTACGTGAAGGGGGGTTGGGTATCGGTCTTAATACCGATCGAAGGCTTACTATGAGACTAGTGTAAATAAGTTCCATGTTTCTATAGCTACATTTACGTTTTCACAAATTGATGAAGTTTATCTTCATTGACGCCGACAGCAATTATAAAAACATGCATGACGGCCGTCGGCATACCGTTGTTAAACAGCATTGCGATGACACTCACGAACATTATCGTAAATATACAGCGTAATTTAGTTTGCCCTTAAACCAGTGAATAGTTAGTTCTAGTCGTAACATCAATTAAATAATGCTCTAGTCAATAACAAAAAAAAAAAAAAGGCCTTTGATGACTGCCTACTTGACTATGGTAATCGTTATTGTCACTGTAGGATAAGTGATGTACGGTAGAGAGCCCTTTCTATAGGCAACTCGAAGTTGTAGAAGTTCAGGTAAGCTAGCTTCTCGTAACTTTTTTTTTGCATAATTTGTTCTTCTAAACAAATAAGATGTTGCTTTTACGATGAAATATAAGCAGCGGGGCCTTTTTACGGCACCGATAAAAAGCAGCCATTTAGCAAAATATTGACGACGGTCAGGAACATTGTTGTACGGGCCATATTCTCACACAGTGGAAATTGCATCAAGCTCCACATATGTATACCAATTGAACAAAAACACTTCATCTAGAATTGGCCAGCCAGGTCAGCCCTAGTCCTATTATTGTTAATACGGTATTACCTACCATTTCTTTAGCTGTTCCCATGCCTTATGTAATTTTGTGGTTGGTTAGTTACGATGCATACTTGTCAAACCATGATGCAGCAGGCAAAAAAACATTAAACCTTTTTTCTGTCATTATATAAATGAATGTTATAACAAAGTTAATTTTCATTTGCAGAAAGATCGAAAGGCGGAGAAGTTTTTACAATACTGCGGTTTGTGCGAAGGCTTTAAGCCTCCTCGAGCCCATCACTGCCGTCGTTGTGGGCATTGTGTTATGAAAATGGATCATCATTGCCCATGGATAAATGCCTGTGTGGGGCATCGTAATCACCGGAATTTTATCTTTTTTCTGTTATTCTGCGTCACCGGTTCGATCCACTCGATCGTGTTGCTTTCTCTTGGCCTACAAAGGGCTTATAATGTGGTTCGTATTTAACCTGAATTTATTGCGGAATATTAGTATTAACTGCGGTAGATATACTTTATTAAGTATGCATTCATTCAGAGTTTCATGGGCTTTCAGTTTTATCAGTATCTTGATTCAATTCATAATCAAGCTTTCTCGATGTACTTGGAGTTATATTGCAAAAACCTGTCTGTTATTTTTCCATTTTTTTATTATTCAATTATAAATTGATTCTTTTTTAATCATAGTCTTAGTGCACAATATATACATCTCGGATTCAGGTGACCTAATATGAGTTCAATGAATTTTTAGTTGATACATTAGGTCACCAATTCTCGATATATGAATTTTAAACCGTGATAAGTGACATCAGTTTCTCGAACAAATTAAATTATCATACTGTCAGGATACATTTGATTAGTTACGTAGCTATAGAAAGCCTAGTCGTATAAACTGTTCACGCAATGGGGGATGAAATCGTCTCGTTAGAATGACGTAATTGTCAAGTTGAATTCATCGCATTTTGGACACAAGAAATCTTTTGACATGTGTTTATGGCGAGATTATTATTACTATTTGAGTAAAAAAAGGTCCGATAGCATCTCTTGCCCTGGATCTGCACCATGTGGTCGTTCGTAAATGGCCTAAAAGTTCTGATATACTTATATGCGGCGATTTTGTGGACCAAACATTTGAATATAATTGACACCCTATATATATTACACTATAGATCCTACTTTTTAGTTTTTGTGAAATTTAATCATAGTGAACGAGCATTTGTATTAACTGTAATTTTATCCAAATTTCTTTTATTTTCTTAGCTGTATTCATTGACCATAGAGAATTCAGTATTCTGTGTTATCAGTTGCTTGGCTTATACAACATAGCATTGGTTTATTATGGCTTCTCTAGTAGTGACTTAGGACCGTTCGAAGTTAATAAATATTCAGTTTGTACTTGTGGTAATCCGCATTTTGAACGACCCTTGACATATAAACAGAAATGGTACGCAGATATGGAAGAACGATACGAATTTGAACTTCGAATTCGTGGTCGCGAATATCCGCCACTAGGTTTTCAGCCTTCACCTTTGGTTCATCTGCCATTTGCATGGATGCTAGCAACCGTGCTTAGCATTGGACTTTCTCTCGGTAACTATATGCTTATTATTACTGTTAATTGTATTAGGTAACTGACAGCAGTGCATAGCATGGAACTTGAGCATTAATGTAGTTATTGTGTAATGTAAAAGTGTCAAATTTAACCTCCTGAGATCTGCATCGTTGTATCGAACAGATACGGCGCTAGGCAGTGCTAGGGTCTCAACGTCATACCGGTTCCTATCAATTACACACGTTTAGAAGGAAAGTAACCTTGATTACTTATTTTTTAACCACAGCCATAAAGTTATTCATAGCATCGTGTTATACACTCGGTTGTGCCAAGATGCATTGTACAACAATTTGTCATTGGGTAGTTTCACTGGAAAATCACTGAGCTCTTCCATCGTTGGTGAATAGAAGCTCTTTTATCGTATTTATGGCGATATTATTAGAATGCTGAATATCAAACTCGTTGAGTATGGATAACTCTCAACTGAGTAAGCGTACTTCGTGAGAGTAGGTCAATTCGCTTGGTCGCCTGATCCGTGGACGAGATAGGGTTGTGTTTTTGAGGACGTGCGACACCTGCTTATGAGGTTGTCCTTCATTGCATATTGAAACAGTGCAAGCTGTTGTGCCTTGATTCAAATTCGGGCTTGCAGTCGGAAATTAAGATAAACATTTGCTGATGGTTGACGAGTATCTCTATAACTGTGAGATAATAAAACAGATTTAACAGTCAGCGCGTCGATTAGCTACGAGCTACTATGACAAGTTGCTAGCAAACTGTTTGTTGCAAGCGAATCCGGCGGAGTTTCAAATTTAATGATTTTTCAACTAGTTGGGCTAGAAAAATTATTTTTTTAATATGTTTGAGGTACTATTGTTTATTTTCTATATGCTTATCCTAGGTTCTTAAGAGGCACGCACTAACGATTCGCGTTTCCATATGTACTGTCCCTGTTTATGCAGAGCCTGAACTTTATTGCTAGGATACTTAAGTACTGTTAGACTTTCGTCTAATAAAACCCGGACTTTGTATAATTTAGAACGTGTAAATACGGCTGGGAAAGTAATGTGGTATATTATTCATATTACTTTCCCAACCGTATTATTCACGGCGAAAACGTATTTTACTCATATTAAACAAGATGGTTTGGCACAGTTAGAAACGGAATCATTTTTGTTAAGTTTTAGTTTCAAAAATCAACACTCACTTCAAGAAGCACAAAAATATTGGAATTTATCAAAGATTCAGAAAGAGGTTAGGCAAGGAGGTCTTAAGCGAAAACATAGTACGTAAATGGTGCATACGTGTCAAGAACGGATAAACGCTAGCGTGGAATTGACCAGATGTTGACATCTGAAGGACAAGAGCTGTAGTAGACGAAGCTTTTCATAAACACAGAGCTTGACGTCAATTCACGGACCATCCATTTTTTCTTCACTCTGTTTTCCTATTTCCAGCACTTGGGTTATAATTCTGTAGCATGCTACGTATAAAATGTCAGTTTTGGAACTCTAGTTAACAAAAAATCGTCTGAAACATACGGTCGCTATAGAAAAGGCATGGTTCGATCTCTACCGCCAGCCGGAGATAGGTCATGCGAGAGAATGGCGTCGCCTTGGAGCGAAACCGAGTTCAGTGGTAGTGAACGTAAGATGATGATAATGTCTTCTATGGACATCAGCGCCTATTGCTATTAGGAGACACTTGCCGAAGATGAAATAGTGGATGCAGCCCGCTATTAAGAGTTCTTCACAGGGCTCATAGACAATTGGCATGGCAATCAAACGCACGTAGTCCGGTTATTTGATCATAAAGCTATACTTCCTTGCCATACCTCAATTATTTCCTGGTTTGGGCAAAGAAGTGCACAATGTTGGCTTCGACCCGCTTATGCTCCTGACCTCAATCCGCGTGATTGCGGAGCTTTCCACGCCTAAAGAAGGGCCACTGGTGAGCAAGCATACCTTACAATAGCGAATAGAGAAGTCATAGACACAGAACTTACATATAGAAACGCGAATAGCAGATATATGGCTAACAGAAGCTGTTAGAGCGTTGGGACAGGTGTCTAAAGATAAAGAGGGTACCTTTAACACATATCATCATTCTAGAATAACTGTTAAAAAAGCCTTTCTATCATTCTGACCCAAAAGTCATTTAACTTTAAAGCCCGTCGGATTAGCGTGTAACAGCCTACATAACGCATATTTTAGTCATCAAATAATATCGCTATAAAGACCGGAAATCAGTAGCACCGTCATTCGTCCTTAATTACTTGTAAAATGTAGCTCGAACCGACATGTCTGATTTAACGGCGTTGTTTTTGCTTTCCATGTCGTGCATTTCAGGTGTCATTATTGCGTTGGGCTCGCTATTATATTTCCAGATGAAAATGGTCTTGAAGAATGAGACCGGTATTGAGGCTTGGATTAACCAGAAAGCGGAAATGCGCTTAGAAGAAATGGGGCGTTCAGCTAGCGATTGGGTTTACCCATACGATCTGGGTTGGAAGCTGAACGCTCAAATGGTGTTAGCATGGTGGATCAAAGAGGGCAACGGCATCGATTGGCCAATGCGAGGCGGTTGCGATCAGTATGCGCTCACAGTTAGTACTTACACTTAATGACGGTTTTAATTTCGCGGCTAAGGAGCATATATAAGGAGGAACTCTTTAAAAAGAATATTGGATCAGATGAGGGGCTTCTACAGTTATTTTTAATCTGGAAAAATGAAGATTCATTTAGACTTGGCTGAAGATTATGAAATGTAACAAATAAGTCGTATCATTGGATTATATCAAGTCCGTCCAATAGAACCATGGCTTGATTAGCAGTTGGCGGTTTGAAAATTTTACATTATGCGTATTATCTGACTCTTAGGTCGAACAGAAGCTGCAAAAAGACGATAAACGCCTTCGGCGGCGGCCTTACGTGGTCATTCAAAGGTACCATGGGGGCTATTTTCCCTGGTGTAGTCATGGATGCCGCACGTGCATACGGACACCAATTAACGATGAGCCCAGGCTTAGACTTGAAATTGGCCAAAAAATTCTGGTGACGCGATGGAAAAGGTGAGCCAATGAGGGATGCATTTCGAGTTCCAATCTTGGCTATGCATGGCTGTCTGGAATAATTATATCAAGGTTCTGAGAGTAAAATAACAATACTTCTTTTGTAAATCAAGAAAAAATGTAACCAGCTATCATATACATATTTATTCTGAGGCAAGGTTAAACATTGCTATTATCAGAAAATTTAGGAGTATAACGCCTGTACAAGCTTTGAGAGAATTCGACATTATCTCTATATTTGGGTTGAAAAAATAACTTTTTTTAGACTAATCTGAGGTAAATGCGAAGTCCATGCGTGCAAACTACCGTTGTTAACGAAGTTGAGAGACATATTTCTAGCGTTGCTCCTGCTTTATGAAGCTGTTATCCGAGATTAATGGTTAAACAGAATTGAAACGGAAAAATGTTATTTCTAGTTAAAATTTAGTTAAAATTATTAAGTATTGTAGTAAAAATAATAGGTATTGTAAAGCTGCTACCAAATGAAGTCTAAAATTCTTTAAAATGAAGTCTAAAATGAGAAGAATCCTGGGCGTTCTAGCTGCTTGTTTTATCACGACTAAATTTATCTAAAAATGAAAAATTGTCTTTTCCAAGTAAAAAATGGCTTAGACTATGGAAAGGCGGAATAGAACATTAATTAATGACAAGAGCTAATTTTCATAGGCTTAACAGGTTTCACCACAACCTTCATTCGTTCCAAACGGAAACGTGCATTCAGGTGAATTTTTTTCATATATCCAACTAAAATTCAGTTCTATAACAACATTACGGCAAATTCCACACAGAGAAATGTCTTGTATGATTTGTAAAAAGCCGCATGGGCTATGTGAAATATGTAGGATTATGAGCTGATACAAAGCCTAGCTTAGCTAACGCAAGTCATATTTTGAAACGGTAATGCGCCGGAACATTTTGGCCCCACCTGAGTGTAGAGGCACGCGTAAGGTGCTCAGATTCCTTTTTGATCCAATAGCACGGTCATATATGGGCAATATGGAAGAATTATTGTAAGACTTATTTGGCCATTCAATGAGTCATTCACTGCAGACGTGGAGCTAAAATTCACGGGAAAATTAGCAAAAAAAAACATTCTCCAAAAAACATTATTTGGGGTGCGTACCAAAAATATTTGGTGTGATGCGTGTTAATCAAACATGGATAGGCTAGTAATGACTGTCTGACTTGCCAGCTAAAAAGCTGCCCTCCATCTTAGTATCTTTGAACTGATGTTGCTTAATGTATATTGCTGTCAGAGCGGTGGTGACGCATCAAAAATTACATTTTCCCTAGGAAGCGATACCACCTCAAACACTCTGAGCAGCGTTGTTTCCAGTAAACATTGATCAGGATGATCTTAAACACTTATCGTATAGTCTACGAAATAGCGATAGCAAGTCTCAATGTATTTTGCAAGCACGCGTTGGTTCTTTGTATAGCAATATCAATAATGATATGCTTTATTTCCCAATGAAGAGGTACAAAATATAACAAAGAGAACCGACGAGCGTTGCAGCCCCTTTACCGAATAGCAAAATGATGGTTGACTACTGCGCGCCTCGCAGTATTTTCTCTTTGAATCCTTGTATCGCTACGGGTATTTCTTTGAACTCCATCAAAGAAGCGCTCTGTTCTGTCATCATCGAAGCACTTAAGCTTTTTCTCATTGTTTTGCTCCATTAATTGATATTTCAGTTGTAGGTAGTTTTTCGTATAAGCTTCTGCATTTTCAAAATCATGACTTCATACCTTACTAAGCCTTTGTTCAACGCTAATAAAGCATGTATTAAACCAGAAAGAATATTTTATTTGGATGCTTGTATATACAGTCTAGAATCTTTAAGAACAATAATTTTTATTATGGAGCAAGCTGAGAAGGAAGATTAAGAGACTATTTCCAGAACCGTTCTAATGATCCTAGAAAGCAGTCAGTAGTTGCTGTGTACACTTCTACGTCGTCAGCGTAGACCGTAGGATATACATTCCTACGCATAACATGCTTCAGCTAATTGATGTACAGCATGTACATAAGAGGAGCAAAAATCGTATTTTACGGGTAATCTGAGGTAAACTGGGAATAAAAGGAGACTCTGTCATTCACTGGTACACAAAAGTCCCTTCCTTTCAGGAATGATGTAATCCGTTTAAGTGGTTTCTTTCCTACGTCATACTCCAATGAAGTTTAATAAGCTTGTTTCGAGTGATCATTTCAAATGGCGATTTGTAATCAAAATATATACAATTACCTACTTTAATTATATAATTCATTGTCAGGTTTATTGATGAGACCCAGGTAAGGAAATTTGTTGGACGAATCGCTTTTGTCCACGCTCTTGGAAAAGGAGCCGATATTGACGGTCGAACACACGTTGGAAACTGCACCCTTCTCAAGTGAACATCGAAGAATGAGAGACAGAAGTCCGCAGACTGCGCTTCCGCCTTTCCTAGAAACAGAGTCGAATATTGCGTCAAGCGTTTCCTTTTGCTTCTTTGCCAGCTTTCGTAAGTCGCTTTCGACACTGACTGGCGAGGTGTCAACGTAGTTAATTATATACAATTCATTTGGAGCATCGATGAACGGTGAAGGTCTGGCTGCACGCTGACTAGTTTCTTCAGGCGATGGGTTCGTGGCGGTGGAAACGTCACGAAGGATACGGACTTTTTCAGCTTTATTGGTCACCACCGTTTCATCTAGTCTTCTAATAGAATCAACACTACGTCTAGTCTTGCACCACTAAACGTGCCTATAAATTGCCTGTGAATATCGGCTCTGAATGATGCAGTTTTCTTCAACGGTTCCCTTTTTGGTCAGCATTTTCTGCAGCATATGCTGGAAAATGGTTCTTGCTTTATCATTATCTTTCGCTTTACATTAAAGACTAATGCGTTTCATATGAGCATTAATCTTTTCCTCACTATTACAGCCTTTTGATGGAATGGGGAACTCTGTACTAATGTGACGTATTGAATGAAGTGCGTGTAGATCACGTCTACATCACAACAAATAATGAAAAGGCGGTTTCATTCCGTAAATTGTAGGTGGTGGATCATGCTATCAGCAAAACAGGTGACAGATGTTGAGCATCGAAGTCGTTTGAAATCATGAATGTGACAATTGCATAGCGAGCGAATAAATTTTCGCATTGCCTATAAAGTCATCATTTGCAAGAGCAACGTCGAGGACATTGCAACCTCTCGTCGGGTCAGATACAAACTGCTGTAGTCTCGTTTCACTGCAGAAGTTTAGGTATATCATTTTTTTGACAGGTCATCGTTACTGGTATTGCTGTTCTGAAACGTCGTTTTCGATCTCTAACGAAAAGGACTGTATAATCAACTTGCGCAAAAGCTTTTTGGTCACTAATGAATTTTATGCTTCTTTCTTCCAAATCTTGTGCTGAGGTAAAAAAAAAAGGGATTAAAGTGATCTGACGCAGTTTCTACAGAGTACTAGGCCGACCGCCATTTTCTCTGAGCATGCAATGTTATTGTAGGTAGATAGATGAATGTTTAAAGCGGACTTTTTATTATATATATATATATTACAGAAGCAGAGAAAAAGTTTTAATGCACAAACTACTAAATTTAACATTGGATTGCAGGTAC